GCCCCCGCCGTAGCCTACGGACCCCCTCCTCCTCCTCCTCCCCCTGCTCCTTATCCTGCACCAGCTCCTTACCCCGGTCTGTACCCACGTGAGGGTGGAGTCGTGTTCTAGAGTGTTCATGTATTACATATTCCTGTGTTAATTTATTTCAATAAATTGTTGACTGATGTTTTGTAAAATAATTTCGTTGGCTAATCGCACGATTTTTTCCCTATTTTTAAGTAAAGTTATTGAACCCCGACGAAGGAACGCGGCTCCTTTCCAAAGTTTCAAAATTGATTAATACAATTTAATTATTTACAGAAAATTGACTGAGCGATTTATGTGAAAATTTTGCTGATTTTGGGTTTAACCAGAGGGTATAATTGTGAATCTCGATGAAATCTTGGATGCCCCCTATGCAGATGAGCCTTTGGTGGGATCATCCAAAAATAACATTTCCTCATCTCAAAATGTAGCCCAATTGAGATACTGCGGTTCTGGTAAGACAGACGTGTCTTTTGTGCGAGTCGGACAATGGTTCAAAGTGCTCCCGTGATAGCGAAGAGAGCAGTGAGTGAATTTCTACATGAGCCGCGATTAGCACATGCTTTTATGTGTCTCGAGGTTCATCCCAGCACGCACTTACTGCTCTCTTCGCTATCACGGCAGAAAGAGACATCATCACTTAATCTAGTCACGAAGGAACAAAAGCACGGGGTGACAGAGGAGCTTAAGAACAGTGGCTTGGCGTGCTTTGCGATATATCGATGGATCTGTCATTTAAACCTATGGAAAAGAATCGATAAATGGAGTGTTCGTAACGAACACCTTAATAATCGATTATTTACCATAGCTTCAATTGGGGAAATATCGATGATCGATTGTTCACGCCACGCCACTGCTTAAGAGAGTGGGTTGAGTTTGCGACACGGTCAAGGTTCCAAGTGCGCCCCCCTCCCCGCAGTCGCCATTCAAGCCTCCGACTAAATGGCTAATCGGTGACGACAATCAACAACAATTCTGCATCACAATTAAAAGCCTTTTCAAACGGAAGAGGATTTTGATAATAGCTTACGCTCAATCCGCATGCTTTACAATCATCCAATCTCGCCCGGCGGTGAAGGAAGAAAGAGGGAACGGGGTTGACGGATTAGAGGAAATTTTCGGCTTTTTCTCTCTATAATAAAGCAAAACTGCCCTTGTAACACTGGCTGTTAAAAACTATAGTTGAAAACCTTGCAAATTTCGAAGAGAACTCCCAGCGAAAACGTTTATATTACCGAGTTAGGATGTTTTTTTTTACGTGAAAATACCACTTTAAACTTTGGCAGGTTATCTATGCTTTCATTTTCGTAAATTTTGAAAAAAGAGGATGCAGGTTTTACAAAAAAAATTTAATTCCTTATTTTGAATATTTTGCAGTTCATTATAAGTTTAGCATCAATGTGGAAGATTCTTAGAATTCAAGAAAAGTTTGATGTAAATTTTTCCCCAAAAATTTCTTTAACACCCGAAAGAACTAAAAGGTTTTCTAACTAGTGAATTTTCAGCATTTTTGTTAAGGTTAAGTTTAACAGTCAATGGTGCG